CAAATACAAAATACTTAAGAATAAATCTATAAAAGATGCAAGATATTTATATAAATGAAAGACACATAGGAAAAATTTCAACATTGTATTAAGAGATAGGAGTCCTAAATAAATGGAGAGATATTACATATTCATAAAATGTAAGACATAACTAAGCAATTGTCAGTTCTTTCAAAATTGGTCTATCGATTCAAGGCAATGCTGATAAAAATCTCGTTTTCTTTACGGAACTTGATAACTCTAAATGTTGTAGCAAATTATAAATTCTAAATGACTACTTCTAAACTGTATATTAAAACTTAAGACCATGTGTGGTGGCTCAATCCTGTATTGCTAGCACTTTGGAAGGCTGAGGCTGGAGGATTGCTTGAGGCTGGGAGTTCAAGACCAGCCTGGGCAACACAGTGAACCCCTGTCTCTACAAAAATAAAGACATAGGAAAAACTTACAAAATTGTATGAAGAGAAATGAGTCCTAAATAACACAGTGAGACCCTGTCTCTACAAAAATACAAATAAATTAGCCAGCCTGGGCACAGAGTAAGACCTCGCCTCTACAAAAAATAAGCCAGATATGATAGAGTGTACCAGTGGTCCCAGCTACTTGGGGCGGTGGGGATATGTGGGGGGTATGGACAGCAGGTGATGGTGGTGGCTGAGGTAGAAGGCTGCAGTTCTAGTTCTTGTATTATCTAGTGTGATATCGGCAATACATGCACTCCTCCTTAACTGAGGCAATTAAAGACAAGGTGTCACAGACCACTAAACACTATAGTTGTGCCACTGCACTCCAGCACATCTGGATGTGCTGAGGTCATAACAAGGCTTGAGGTGGCACATCTCACATGTGCTTTTGAAAATCTAATCATCGTGCTTACGAGCTACAAAAGAATTGGAGGCAACATTTTAAAAATACTTTTTCAGGCCAGGTGCTGTGGTTCACACCTGTAATCCCAGCACTTTGGAAGGCCCAAGCGGGTGGATCATCTGAGGTCAGGAGTTAGAGACCAGCCTGGCCAACATGGTGAAACCCCGTCTCTACAAAATACAAAAATTAGCCGGGTGTGGTGGTGTACGCCTGTAGGCCCAGCTACTCAGGAGGCTGAGACAGGAGAATCACTTGAGCTCAGGAGGTGGAGGTTGCAGTGAGCCGAGATCATGCCACTGCACTCCGCCTGGGTGACAGAGTGAGACTCTATTTTAAAATAAAATAAAAGCATCTTTTCAAAGACATGGCTACTGTTCAGATGCTTGTATTTTTAGGGTATGTGTGTGTGTTAAAAAACTTTCCAGTGAATAACGCAAGTATTCATTCGTAACCTCAATGTGTACTGTACAGGGAATTATTCCTGCCAAATTAATTCTGCCTCCAAGCCCCTATTTTGGTAGGTAGGCAGAAAATAGTTGTAACTGGGGCTCCCTCCCCCTGCCTAGGGCCACATACACATTTAGGGTTTGTATAAGCTACCAGGAAGGATGGGGAAAAGTCCCCCTAATCCTCCAGCTAGGATGATCACCTAGGAGATGTCTTTGTCCCAAGCCTGACCAGTCTCTGAATGTCTAGTGGTCCGCAGCTCCTGTGTCACTTTGTTGCACTGTAATTTGTGCCAATATTGGGAGCCTTGGGATACCAGGGCTTATTCTTACCATCTGGGACAAAACGCGGGCAATAAAAGGAATTTTTCTTACACTAAATGTAAAGGAATTCAGGGTGGATTAATTGGCTTTTTAAAGTATATCCTTGGCCAGGCACAGTGGCTCATGCCTGTAATCCCAGCACTTTGGGAGGCCGAGGCGGATGAATCACTCAAGGTCAGGAGATAGAAACCAGCTTGGCCAACATGGCAGAAACCACCATCTCTATTAAAAATACGAAAATTAGCAAGCATGATGGTGCGTGCCTGTAATCCTAGCTACTACTCAGAGGCTGAGGCATGAGAATTGCTTGAACCCAGAAGGCAGAGGTTGCAGTGAGCTGAGATGGTGCCACTACACTCCAGCCGGTGACAACGTGAAACTCTGTCTCAAAAAAAACAAACAAACAACAACAAAAACCAAGAAACAAAAATAATGATATCCTTTCTACTTTTTTGATGTTAAAATGTCTTTTATGAAATAACCATAAGATGTTTAATATGTTTAATTTATTTAGCAAAATAAAGTGTTGGTACCTTTATGTCCATTACAATTTTTGTGTGCGTAGGGGGTGGGGAAGGTTGTCAAAGATAAATAAAACTGGACATTAAAGTGGTGAAAAACAATTTTATTCAGTAATTACTAACAGTAGGGGAAAGAGCAGCGTTCCATTTCAATGTAGAGGTAATTGAGCAGCTTACAGAGAGAATAAGGGAGGGTGAAAGAGCCGGAATGCATGCAAAAAATTTCAAAGTCAGTCAGTATAAAAGTGATTAGACCAGCTGTGTCAGCTAGCCGGCGATTATCACTGAAGTCAGGATTCTACCCTCCCACCAAGAATGGGAGACAGTAACCTTCCAGATGATTAAACTTCAAAGGAATGGCTTTCAGGTCCTTAGATACTCCTGAATTGTAGGAGAGAACACATACATGTCAAGGGGACAGAGGAAGGACTCACAATTGTAAGCTCTTTTTTTGTAAATGCTCCAAGAAAGGGGGTCAAGGGCCTACGGCCAGGTGGGCAGTGTTGAGTTTTCTCATTTAACTGAGAGGCCTGGGGAGAGATCTGTAGTCATCCTAGGAACACGACCTTATGCTGCTACAAGCCTCACTACAGTCTGGTGGTCTCTTTTTGCTGAGGTTTTGACAAGGTCATTAAGTAACAAGAATTCTGTGGTTCTCATGATCCATATGTCATTATTAGGTAAAATCCGTTAGGTTTAAAATTAGTGTAATCTCTTTGATACCTACATTGCTCCCTGAGGCAATTAAAGACAAGGTGTCACAGATGTCTAAGCACTTCTAGATTCTACAAACCCACAGCCTCAAAGGAGCACTGCCCCTCAAAGCTCACCCACACACACCTCCCCTTTGTTACCTAGAGAAAAAGACCAAGGCCTGATGACAAATTTTATCATCAAACTTAAGTGGCACACGCCAACAATTAGAAAAGGAGGCTTTTCATCCAGAGAGAACTGCACTGTCCTACACCATCACAAACCAAACACCTTAATGAAAGTTTGAAAGAAATTCTCAGACCTCCAGATACAGGGGACAGGGAAAACAGAAGTGCAAGAAAGAACAGCAACTGTTTACCACAAGGGCCTTTGGATAACTTCAAGAAATCGGCTACCCAAATGAGCTGCAGAAAGGCCTAAATTAACTAAAACAGTTACAATAAAACCGAAGTCCTGAGATTTTAATGTAACTCCAAATGCTAATATAGTTTCTTCAGATCTATCTTTTGAAAGCTTCCTAGAAACATATTATGGCAAAATGTGGCTGTAAGTACAGGTCTTGTCACTGGCTGTATTCAACTAAAAAAAAAAAAAAAAAAGAAAAAAAAAAGCGCGACTTTTTTTTTTAAGTTGGAGTTTCACTTTTGTTGCTGGAGCGCAATGACTGGACCTCGGCTCACTGCAACCTCCTCCTCCCAGGTTCAAGCGATTCTCTTGCCTCAACCTCCCGATTAGCTGGGATTACAGGCATGCACCACCAAGCCCAGCTAATTTTGTATTTTTAGTGGTTTCTCCATGTTGGTCAGGCGGGTCTCGAACTCTCGACCTCAGGTCATCCGCCCGCCTCGGTGTCCCAAAGTGCTGGGATTACATGCGTGAGCCACCATGTCCGGCCTTTATTTTCAATATATATGTTAATATCAAAAACTTTACATTTCTAATTTAATCCACTCATTGCAATTGTTTCTGAATGCATTCCATTTATGCATTAGCAAAATGCATTATTAAGGAAAGACAAATTAAGTCAGATATTTGGATTAATCATTAAGTCTATTGTAGTATAAAGCAAGGAACTTTCCTTCAGGACATTTAATATATTAAATGGGCCAAAACACTGACTTGTCATTTAAAAATGTAAGGTCACGTTCATAAGTGTAAAAAAAAAAGTCATGCATAGCCGTGCGCAGTGGCTCACGGCTGTAACCCCAGCACTTTGGGACACCCAGGCAGGCAGATCACCTGAGGTCAGGAGTTCGAGACCAGCCTGGCCAAAATAGGGAAACCTCATCTCTACTAAAAATACAAAAATTAGCCAGTCGTGGTGGCGCGTGCCTGTAGTCCCAGCTACTACGGAGGCTCAGGCAGGGAAACTGCTTGAACCCAGGAGGCAGAGGTTGCAGTGAGGGGAGAGCGCCACGACCACACTCCAGCCTGGGTGACAGAGCGAGACTCCATCTGCCCCCCCCCCCAAAAAAAAAACCATGCCTAATGGTTATTTCTAAAATACTCGCATACATTTTACGTTAACATTACGAAATAAAGTAACGTTTATATAATTATTTCAATAGCTATTCCTATTTCAAGTAATAACGGGTAAATTTAGCACTAAATATAAAAAAAAATTGCATGGGCGAGCTGTTTTCCTTAAAACACGATTCTGAGCACTAAACGTTACAAAAACCTGCTACAACTGTGAAGGATAAACCGCATTTCCCTATTATTGCAAGAACAAAGGTTTTAACAAAAAATTTCAAGGACTCTACAGCCGCCTTGTTCTTTGTTACCCCACCCCTGCCCGCCTCGGCTAATGGTTTTGGGGGCCGTTTGCTTGGTGCGTCTGGAACTCCTCAGGCGGCGGGCCTCTGGCAGGAAAAACCGCGGCCCGCACTGGGCCGGGAGCTGAGGCGCTGGTGGCCCTCGTTGGTCCCGTGGGCCGCCTCCCCCTCCTGCAGACACTCGAAGAGCCATCCGGCCACGTCTCTCGCCGCCCGGCCCCGCCACTAGGCTGCCGCCTCCGCCGCCGCACGGAGAAGGGCGAAGACCCGCCCCTGCAGGTGATTGACGGGCAGTCTCCTCCAATGGTCAACGCGCTCGGCCCCGGCGGGCTGGGCAAGGGCCGCGGCTCGCGGAGGAATCTCTCTTGCCCTTTAGTCCCGGGCAAGGTGTTGCGGCCGGCGCCATTTTCTCGAGCCGCCTGTTTCGGGTGCCGCCATGTTGGTGAGGAGAAATCACCGTTACGGCCACTGTCCAAATCCCCGCGTCGCTGCACGCCGCCCGCCCGCTCCCACGCCACAGCCACCGGCGGCGAATAGAGACTAGAGCGGCAGCGCCGGCAGCGCGGGGCCGTTGCCCAGTGTTTGCAGTTAGAGCCCCACCTCTCTGGCGTGGTTGTTAATAGACTGGAAAGTCTGTGTCTGTGTCGCTCACTAGTAACCGTGAGTTTTTACCACTTCGTCACCTGTCGGCGGCGGCCGGGAGCAGGTTCCCGCAGGCGGCGCAGGGGTCTTCCCCGCGCCCCGTCGCCGCCGGCCTCGCAGACCTGCCCTCCAGCCCCGCCCCGTTCTTGACCAAACATGACAGACTCTGAACATGCAGGGCACGACAGGTCGGGAACCCTTCTTGTCTGTCTTTCTGTCGGATGAGAGGAGGGGTCTGGGGCGGCGGGAGCGGGCCGGGGCCGGGCGCCTCCTGCATGACCTAGACGTCTCTGTGTGGCTCCGTCAGTTCCATGACGCGCACCCTTATGTAAACTGCTGGATCGCGGCCGCGGGGGAGGTCGGCCCGGCCGCGCCCGCCTCCCCGAGCCGGGGTCGCTGCTCGCCGGCGCCGGCCCCGCCCCCGGCTGGGCACGTGCGAGCCCCCCGCCCCCGGGCGGGCTCCGTGTGCGCCGGGCGGCTCTCAGCGTCCCGGCTCGGTGCTGCGGTCCTGCCTCTTCCCGTCCAGGGGTCGGTGCTCCCGGCCAGATAGGACCAGCCAGGAATTTTCAGGAACGGGTGTTTTAATATTTGACTACTTCCCGAGAGCCGAGAACACCTCTAAAAAATAAACATGTTTGGTTTTCAGGGAAGTTTTAAGCAGCACCAAAAGGCCATCTGTTGTATACAGTCTTACCCCTTGGAATTTGAGATGGCAAGTTTCAAGTTCAGTATGTTAACACAAAATAGGCTTTGCAGAAACTTAGTGTAGCATAGTTTTACCCTAACGGAAAAACTCCATCGATTATTCAGGCTTGCCCAATTTTCTAGATGGTGTGTATCACTTGAATGTTTAATTGAGATTCTGATTTTTTATTTTTTGCTCTGTGCCTTAAGAGGCACATTCTGGATTCCACTCAAGTTTGGGGACATTGACAAAGTATACTGTAGTATACTTAAATTTTGGTTATAATTCAAATTTTCGTTCGTATATATCTTTAATAATGAGAAAGGGGGGCTTTCATTCATTAAACTTACTGAAACAAAATCCATTGCATCTGATTCTTACTTAGAATATTAATTTGAAAATTTAGAACCTCACAGTTACTACTTTGTGAATAGAAGTAATCAAAAATATACATTTTACTGTAGACTATATACATTGCTGAAGTTTGATCTGTAGTAATGTGATCTGCTTGGTAAAGCATCCTAAACCCGTTTTTAAAACCCAGAAGGAAAAATCACAGACACTGCTGAAATTTGAAATATCTAAATGCCTAGCAATCTTGGGAGGGATAAAAGTGGTATTTCAACAACTTCATTATTGTAATAATAAAAGTGGATTGCCAGACGGCACGTCGATGAAAGGTATAATGATTTTTAGAAAGTAAAATGCACTCTTAAAAATGATAAGCTTGCACTTGGCATATTTTTAATGATTTTTTTAACGTTATCTTTTTTATTAAAAAGAATGTTCTTAGAATGGGTTGACTAATACCTTGAGAAGTTTCCCACTCTTGAGTATCTATGGACAAACCAATGATGGGGTTTTGCTAATGGAGCGAAAATCCTTTTTTTATATGGAAGAAGGAAATCTGTTTCCCTCTCTTAGTGCACAATGTAACTTCAATATATGGAGTTATGTATTGTACATCATGAAAAAACCATGTCATCAAATTCAAGTATCAAAATAATTTTGCTGGTAAGGAACTGTGATGACAGACCTTTTAAATAGCTTGAAATTTTAAAATACTGATTTAGAGGTTAAAAAGAAAACCTTAAATAATTATTTGTAAGATATGTTAATAGCTTGGTAGTAGGAGCTAAAGATTAGTCTATTTTATTTAAAATTAGGACTAAGAGTATTTTCCAGCGATTTCTGAAGCAAAAAAATTAGCTCCACTTTAACTTAGCCATTGTTAAGTGGCATCTTGGTTCTGAGGTGAAAGAGATGGTTTATTTTTTTTTCACACTTTTTTGTTAACCCACATGAAAAACAAAACAACTACATCAAAAACAAAGTGAACTAGAAGTCAGGAGAAATTCTCCAAGATCAGATCGATGGTTCTAACCTTCCCTGGGGAACTTTTTTTTTTAAGTATTGCTGCTATTTCTGTTGGTCTGGACCTCCGCCTGGGTTTTAAGAGTTCTAAAAGCTCCCCAGGAAATTGTAATATGTGCCAAATTGAGAACTGCTGTACTTGATCAGTGTTTCCCAATGTTAGTTAATCATCAGAATCACTTTGGGGAGTAAATTTTTGTTCTGCCCAGAACAACTGAATCAGAATCTCTAGAGTATTTTTCATAGGCTCCCTGGATAATTCTTAAGAAATTTGGGGAAAAAATAGACTAATCTGCGGGGTCCCAAAATACTGTATCTTGCCATGTTATAGCTATTTTATGCTGTTATAAAAGTTTCTGTGAATTAAGTGGAGAAAAAGATATGAAACTTGGTGTATGGAGCTAGGCTTTGTCTCAAGGATTATTACTATTTTTTATTTTTATTTTTTTTGAGACGGAGTCTCGCTGTGTTGCTCAGGCTAGAGTGCAGTGGGGTGATCTCGGCTCACTGCAAGCTCCGCCTCCCAGGTTCAGGCCATTCTCCTGCCTCAGCCTGCCTAGTAGCTGGGAATATGGGCACCCGCCACCACACCTGGCTAAGTTTTTGTATTTTTAGTAGAGACCGCGTTTCACCATGTTGGGCAGGCTGGTCTTGAACTCCTGACCTAAAATGATCCACCATCCTTGGCCTCCCGAAGTTCTGGGATTACAGGCGTGAGCCACTGCACCCAGTCAAGGATACTCTTTTTATAACATTTTCAAAAATTAAGGCATATTGTGTGTGCAGGAAAAAAAACGAAGCCTATGATTTATATTTACAATTGCTTTGATTTTATACAAATTAAAATATTACTGTTTATGTGAGAATGAGATTCTAAATGTAAATGGAATTCACAGAATGCATAGTTTTTTTCTCCTTTAAAGAATAGAGTCTTGCTATATGCCCAGGCTGGTCTTGAACTCTTGGGCTCCAGCCATCCTCCCATTTCAGTCTCCCAGAGTGTTGGGATTACAGGCGTGAGCCACCATGCCTGGCCTTGTACATGTTATATAGTGAACATTTTGCACAAGATTGTTTGCCAAATGAATAACTTTAAAAAAAATCCATTTAGTGTACTTTCCTTTAAATATTTTCACACCTGGAGTTAAAACATTGTATTTTATAAAATGTTATTAATATAAAAATATTTGTAAATAAATTTGTGGCTATGTAGAATATAGTAGAGGACTTTTGCATAAGCCTAGAGCCTAGCTTCTAAAGGTCTTTAGAAATAGATAATAGACTTGGAGAGGAAAGAGTTGGGGGAAATCAGAGGGAGGTATAATTCTGGTCTCTTGTCATTTAGTTCTCTTTCATTCAGTTCTCTCAGGCACAACTTCAACCGCTTAGTTTTATATTTCAGCTGGATGTTCACCCAATTAAAACAATTCACAAACAACAACTGAAGACGAAACACTGAGTCCCTTCTTTGGACACATCTGTAGTAGAGTAGGAAAAGATAAATATAACCCAAGTAATTGTTACAGAATTTTCTGAAATATACTAATGGTAAAAGGTTTTATAGGGAATGTACTGGGGAAAAAGATAATTTTTTAACATGAACCATCTAAGAGCTTGTAAGTCTCAAAGAGTCTTTGATTGATAGGTGGTATGAATAATACTCTCCTTTGGGAGGAGATTTATAATATATGAACAACCTCCCCACCCTGCCCTCGCTGCTTGTGTCCTGTACAACAAGAACAACAAAACTCCAGCTAGTCAGAATTGCAAGTGGTTTATGCCCCCCCGCCCCCCCAATATAGATTGAAAACTTGCTAAGAGACTGCACTGGAGAATCTGAAGGGATGAGGATGGAAAGGTGATTATACTTTTCATTTGCAACAGGGCTTTCATTTGATTCTCACATTAATCCCATGTAGTAGTTAATTAAGGTAGTATTACAAGGTTCAGTGAATTGTCTGAGAACTCACAAATACAACCTAGATAAGAACCCAGGTATTATTATTTTCACTCTTGCAATATTATTTTCCTACTTGGATATTGTTTTCCCTCTTCATTAAGTTTGCACAGCAAAGTAATGGAATAAGTTCTGGGCTTTGATTCTTGAGTAGCTTGGAATTGTAATGTGTTATGTTTGAGAGAGAGCCCTTCATTTTGAATAAAACCTTGATTCTGATCCTAATCTTCTAAGTTGGTTAAAGCTCTTCCCCTTTTCATGATTTTTTTCACTTGTGAAATGGAGTAGTTGCACTAGATCATTTTCAATTTTCCTTCCCTCTTTAAAAAATCAATTTTAGTTTAAAAAATTGCAGATGCCTTTTCTCAGATCAGAGTACACTTTTTGCTTCACACAATATCTGGTTTGTAAATTAGTATGTTCCGTGGAGTAAATACCTTTCCTGACTAGCCATTAACTCAAAACTTTTTGACTCCTGAATCCACTAATTTAATTATTGTTGAAATTACTAAAGGAAATTTTTCTTTAGCAAATGTAAAAACTCCTATCAGGTCTCAGGTTTGATGTTGGAAAGCACTCTTACTCTTAGGAAGACTCTTTTTTTCCCCCAACCTCTCATAAAGAAATTATTTCATTCATTTTAAAATTTCATTTTTTACATTTTCATTCTTAAGACTTACAGTGTTTCCTCTCTGCTAAGTATAGTGTTAAGCACTGGCAAAACAACTCTGTACACAACATCATGAACTTGCTCTCTGGGATCTTATAATCTAGTTGCAGAAACAGATTGGTAAATACATAGTTATAGCACAAGTACTATAATGGAGGCCTCAACTGAGTGTTGTGGGGGTACAGATGAAGGCTTCTGGGAGACATCATGGCATAGCTAGACCTGGAGGATGAATAAAACTTGGGCCAAGTAAATGCAGAGATACACAAAAAGCTTGGAGAAATGGCACAAATAGGTTCAGGGATGATAAAAGTGTTAGTATGTGGAGAGTGTACAACTATTTTGGGGAATGGGGAAACGGATTAAATTTGCAGCCAGACCCTGAAGGATGTGGGGATCCCATCAAAGTCCTTTAAGCAGGAGAATGATCAGATGCATTTTTTTGGTATACTACCTGGGGGATAGGAAGACATGGACTACAGAAGGGGAAATCAGTAGAAGG